AAAATTTTTATAATTAATAAATATAAAAAAATAATAAAAATAAAAATATTAATAATAAAATTTTAGTAATTATTTAAAAAATAATCATCTTAGATTTTGATGATTTTTTAATTTATTAGAAATCAATATTTTGTAGAATTTTGAACATCGAAAATATATAATGGATGGACTAATATCAATGGATTATAATAACTATTTTTAACTATATTTAACTTGAGTAATTCTTTGGATATAAGGAATAATAAATAAAATAATCTTTGGACTGGATTGAAGTTATTTAATGATAATAATATTTAATATTTGTCGTTAAAATTGTATATTCATTTTTTTTATTTCAAATCAAAATCCGACAGCATTTCTTTGCTCCATCGTTGCTCCATATGCTGCGTTTATTTTGTTTCCTCATATTTATTTCCCTTTTTTGTTAAGTCATTCGAATAAATTCAATTAAAAACATCTTGTATACTAGAATTTAATTATTTTCAAATTTGATTAAATTCATGTGCTGCATATTTTAAAATATTTTTTTAATGATAAAATTATAAATAATATAAATTAGAAATACTGATTATAACAATTTAAGAGCAAAAAATAAGAAAAAAATAAAAAGAAAGATATGTGGAATCAGAGTTGTCGAAAAAAAACGCACATAAAATTTAAAATCAAAAATATCTATATTCTTTATATTAAAAAATCAATACACATTATAATTTTGAACGAATGATGAAATGATGTATCATATTCCTCATCCATATGCGTCAAGAACAACTGTATAACCAAGGAGAACAAATCGTAAAAAATAGAGATAAGATAAGAATTAATCACCAGCGACATCTCTTGTATACCAAAGATATCTCAAATACTTTTGTTTATTCCAAATAAGAGATGGCATTGATCCTCAATTCTTACTCCATTTTATTTAGTCATTAAAGAAATGTCATTAATACTCGAGAGAATTATTTCTTATCCTATCTATCTAATCACAGAATCGAATTTACGGCATTTGAAATATAAAAATTGTGATCATAGAATGCACATAAATATCGATTTGTTATATTCCAATCAATAGTATTTTCTTTCAAACTATTCTTTAGCATGAACATTTAATTCCATCGTAAACTTCTTATGATGGATGGTTCCTTGTTTAATTTATCTTAAGTATAAATCTTTCAATTCCAAGCTGCTTATGATGCAATTACTCTTTAGTTAAATAACTTTATCCCAATCTATTGATTTTATCCAATTTTATTCTTAGATCTCTGACTCACGAAGATTCATTCAAATATACAAATCGATGATCGAGAAAAATAAATGATTTCAAATCTAAGTATAGATTCTCCATAATATACAAAATATACAACAAACAGAAAAAACACATTATTCCAAAAATCACTTCAAAAAAAGTTGAGCGCTATTTTAAATTACACTACATCTCCAAGAATCAGTTTGCGCTATTTCGAAGAGTTCAACAATAGTGAATAAAAATTTAATTTTGAAAAAAGATTACAACAAAAAAGCAAAATCCATAATATATCACTAAAATCATTAAAAAATTCCTTAAAAATCAGAATTGTTATCAAAAAGATTTAACAAGAAATCTTCTTCAACAACATATTAAATGTCAATTTATTTTTCGATTCATGCATTGTTCGGCATTATAATTATATATTAATAATAATATATAATCATAAAATAATAATAATAATATAAAATAATATAATATAAAATAATAATACAAAATAAAAATAATAAAATAATAAAAACTGAGTTTCTATTACTTTTGTTAAGAATTGTTATCTCCCAAAATTGTTATTCAATTTTCATCTTGATAATATCTCTGTGAATTTAATCCAATCTCAATCAAAAGTAATTATTGTAGTATAAAGTTTGCTCTCGTTCTACGTACAAATAATATACTTACTTACTATATACTATCCTTATTAAATGAAAACTCATCCTTCCTTAAAATATCTTTAATGATATTTGAATATAATGTTTAATTGTTTAAATTAAATCAAAATTTTTTTTATTTCTAAACTTGTAGTAATGATCTCCATTCTATAATCGTGATTCATAAAGTATTTGGTTGTAAATTTTTTGTAGCTGGAATATAGCAGTATGCTCTCCAAAATACAATAGGGCTTCCAAAAATCTCAATTCATCATGGATAACAATGTTTCATCTTCCGTACGAACGCGAACAATTTGAGAAAACAGTCACGAAAGACTTTTGTGATGAACACAAGACTGAGTTTTTAATCCCTTATTATTTCAATTTTTTGTTGCAGATGTTATCTAATTATCTAATGATAAACCTGATTATTGCAATTGTAATATTACAGTACGTTTTGAACATATTCTAATCATTACAATTTCAATCATTATTATTTTTTAGAATTAAAATGATAAAAAATTTAAACTGTTGTACTATGATTTTGAGAAGCATAATTTAAATCATGTTTTATGAGAGTTCTCTAAGATATATATTGATTATAGAATTTATTGCGGCGTCAATTAACAACTTCCAATGAATCAATTACTTATTCGCTGAATTATATTTAAAAGAATTAAAATAGATTATTAATTTCTAGAAACAATATCATAATTTTTATTTTAATACTTATATCCTATCAATATTATATTTTACAATAACTCTACTTTTGCTTTACAATTAAATTATTTATATATTAAATTCATAAATTTTGTATATACATTAACTGTATTAATATCATTCAAATATAATCTATTTTGAAAACTATTTATGAAGTTCTATAACTATGAATGTTTCCATTTCAATTTATTAATATATTAAATATATTACATATATTAATTTATCGTAACTTATTTTCAATTCATATCAACATTAAATTATATTTACAGATTTTATATATTTTAATATATTTTATTTTCTAATATAAGCAATATTATTTAATATTATAATAATGCCTATTTTTGTATCTGACTTTTTGCCCATTTAAATATTAAATACTTAAATATATCAATATTTGAAAACTTTATAATTGTTTTCGACATCAAATTAAACATTTAACGTTTGAATTTATGTTATGTATTATTTATTATATATTTATATTATGTTATTATATATTTATATTATGAATTATGTTGTTATATTTGCTAAATATAACATATGATATCTTACTTATACTTATTCTTTTTTTTTTACTCATTTATAAGCTATTAATGTCGAAAAATGAAACGCTCGATAATCGTCTATTTTGCATATGTTGACTATTAATAGTTCATATTAATATCTCACATTTTATTCTTTTCCTTCATTCAATTGAATTCGTAGAAATTATTTAATTGAATAAAAGTTTCGATACTATTTTCGATACTAATTGCGAACGCTAAAATAAGCATTATTATATATTATATATTTGTATTTTATATTGTATACTATATATATTCGTTCATAGACTTAGTAAATAATCTAGAACGCTTAATAAATTCATTCGAGACATTTTGCCGATTATTCAATTTTTGACTTATATCTATGTTTCTCTATCTATTTGCTCATTTTGTCTATACTTGAGTTACGAAATTTATGGTCTTAAAAGATAACTCTGATATCTGATTAAATAAATTTATTATTTTTTTATCTAACCTATTTATTAAAAATGTATACTATAAATTATTTTATTTTTTACTTTCGTCACATCAATTTTATGGTCTGATTTTATAAAACGTTTTACTTTTGCTTTGTCTCGTTTTCTGTAACAAAAGAATATATATATCATTATAATTTAAATTTAATAA